AAGTTGAAGGTTTAAGGTTGTGTTAAGGTTTATTAGAGGCTCAAATAAGGCTCAAAAGCTTCCAGTAAGATTACTTAGATAGATTCTAGGGTTCCACATGATTTTAATTGCGCGGCAAATTTAGGGGAGGCCGCCGTGTTAAAGAGGAACGGTAATTGTTCAGGGGGGAGGGGGGGGGACCCCCCATCATTAAAAAGGGTCCAACATTAAAGCAAAAGACTTACACTGCAAAAGTAGGGTATGGAGAAAAACAACATTTCGTGCTCTCTTTTTTTGTTTAATGGGTTGTGGGCCACTGTTTCACTTAATGTTGGGGCCTGATTAGTGTGGGGGGCCTTAATTGTGCGAAGTTTCGCCGAAATTATTCAGGCCACCCCTAATGATTTGGGGGCCTTAATTGTGCGAAGTTGCGCGGCCAAAAACCAATAATTGTGAGAATAAGTCAATAGAAACCCTTTTAAATTCTTTCTAAAACCCTTCTGATCAATTACGGAGCAGATCCTGATCCCTCCCATTGAAGTTGAATTAAAACCTAAAAACCATGGAATGTTTGGGGGGGGCCCCTTAGTAAATGGGCTCCCATTTTTTTGGGGGGTGGGCTGGTGGGGCCCCCCCCCACACTAATCAGGACCCAACATTACTTTTGATTCCAGGTTAGTTCTTCGGCCCTTTGATGACCTTTTCTCGGCCATTCCCAAGCATGAGATTGAGGATCTTTGCATCGAGCAGCGTGGGTTACATAGGGATTCTGTCGGGGGTTGCAGGGGCTATGTAGGGCTTATATAGCGCGCTAATTTGTGGACCACGTAAAAAGCTCCAGAATGCGGAAAATCAACAAGTCCTTCTCAGTACCCCCTGCATGAAGCCCAAACCTCAACCTCCCATCTACCCGAGACCTTGCTGAAAAGGTCAGCTACCCAAATGAAGGGGGGTAAAGGCGGCTTTCTAGCTAAGCCCTAGTCCCTAAACTATACTCTACCAACCCCTCAAACACCATTTTCAAACCCTAGATGAACCCCTACGAACCCTAAACCAGCAAAACAAGGTGGTCATCTGAAGCCTGAGAGTGGCGGCGTGCGAAGATGCGAGACTGCTTGAGCCAACAGCTCACACGAGACGGCTCGGGTGCACCCTCCTTCGAACTAATATGGAGCTCCGCATAGCCCCCTTTGAACAGGATAGTGGCCTCCAAAAGGCCCCATGTGAGCTACAGTCCAAACTCCCGGTATCCCCCTTAATAACCCCTACAATAGTATACCCCATATATTCCCCTATATAACCCCCTTTAAAGAGTTTAGACTGCGGCCCAGTTGGGGTTCTACGTTGGTTTGGGTGCACCAGTATAGCGGGGCAATTTAAGGGCATAGGGCTGGACGCTCTCGAGCCCATCTGCCTTTTCATTGAAAACTGAGGGTTGACTAAAGTCGGACTCGTGAGACGTGCTGCGGCGAGCAGTAATTCTGCTTGATGAGAACCAACTGGGTCCTGCCCCAAAATTAACCTGCAGAACTGCTACTCCCAAATTCTAATCCCAAGCAAGCAATATAAATCGCCAGTATAGGCACCCCAATTCTTGTTCAAAACACCAACCTGAATCCAATTACTGCTCGAGTGTTTGCCAACTTTCAAAGGCACACACATGGGTTTGGCTGCGTGCTGCAAGCCTGTTGGGCAGCAGCAAGCGGCCACAAGCATGGAGTCTGCGGGGTAAGGAGGCTTATAGATCCACTTAAGTAGATAGAATATGGTGTTGGGTATATTATAATAAGATTCCCATATACCCCATCTTCTCTCTACTTAAAGGGACTTCGGAAGTTGAGTGTTTGGGCTTCCCGCCCGAGGTCTAAGAGCTTACAGCTTCAGGTTCTTAGGGTTGAGAGCGTAGGGTGGAGATCCAAGAAGGCCTTCACGCAAAAGCGTGGCTAAACTCAAAGGCTGTTGGAGACGGTCCTAAACTCTCAACCCTAAGTCCCAAAACCTAAACCCTTCAGGTCTTATCAGGACTTGCTCAGGCCTTCTTGGAGCTGGACGACGCTCACATAGCCACATAACGCAACATATACAGGTACCAGATGGATATGTGAAGATTTGCACTACTGGTAAGAAAATGTAATTGTTCTGTTCCTCATCATCAATACCAGGGGTGGAATGCTACAGACCGATACACCTGGTAAGCCTATGCATGAATTTGCTCCCAGCTGTTGCTGGAAATAAACACCTACGGGTAACGCTGGAAATTTGTCAGCGCCATGTTGTTCTGGACATCTGCTGGCGCGGTAGACCGAGAAACCGAGGAAGACATGCCAAGACCGCCTTTCATTCTTTGAATGTCTTCGGTCAAGTTTCGCACATGCTGCTGCAAGGACTGCAGCACCCTCAGAACTTGGATGTCATGTGCAGGTATTTCCTGCACAGGGAAGGCCGGGAAGGCAGGAAGAGTACTTCGACACGTTCCGCACAACCTACTCTCATGTCTGGGCCCAACAGTCCTGAAGAAACATATTTACCAAGCCATCTATGAACTCATCTTGCGTTAGCTGCCCGCCATCATCGACGTCCAGAATCTCGAAAAGCTCCTGGCGCAACAGATATAAAGAAAAGGGTCGCAGATATGGGGAATGGGCAGCAACGGCACTCAATACAAAAAATCATGATGTCAACTGCTCTGACAGGTCAATAGCTAGGGTCACTCTGACCAAATCTGGTACAAAAGTCTCGAGGTGACGGAGGCACACGGAAAGGGCGAGGAGGGGAGTCGGAAGAGGTGCGCAGCTAACAGGACTGCGAGGGCGAGAAAAGGGCTAACGATGTTTGTAATGGTTGCCATCTCAGTTATGCTCGTAGTCCCAGCATCATGTTTGCAGTAGTGCTCGTAGAGCCAGTACTCCTGGTAGTACTGGCAGTACTTGTACTAGCAGCCAACAGTGATGGTACTACTAGTACGACTTGTATTGCTAGTACTGCCAATAGTACAACTAATACCGGGCCGGCCCCCTCACCGACCATCATTTCTCTTAGATGACATGTCGAAGTCGTCAAGAGCCTAAGCCACACGACGCCGCCAAGCCCATTCCCCCTTAGTTACTCCCCAACAGCACCAATAGCGATCCACAGAGGTGTGAAGCCAAGCCATGCGAACCTGAACCCCCAAATACGCCTTGAGTCGGCCGGGGCCACAATGGCACATAAGCATAACGGGCCCGGTTGAAGTGGGCAAGCTGGACACAGCTTCGCGAAGTATAAGTTTGGCAGGACAGAAAGCACACATGCCAGGCAGGCAATGACAGCCAAACTTCTCTCACGACGATATAACTAGATTCCAGTCTGCGGCCGCGGCGGCACCTCTCATAGGGAATGGAGGGTAGCCCCAGTTGGGAATGGAGGATCGCCTCCCTGTGGTAGGGAACGGAGGATCACCTCCCTTTTAGTAAATTTCTTGAGAACGGTCCCTCTCGTAGGGAATGGAGGCTTGCCTCCCTTATAGCTAGGAATAGCCGTCCAGGTTAGGGAATGGAGGACGGCCTCCCCTTCTAAACGGAATGGGGTGGGGGGCCAGCGGTGGCAGTGGCAGTGGTGGTGGCGGCGCTGGCCGAAGCTGTGGCAGCGGTGGCGGTGGTGGCGGCAGTAGGATGGGTGCCGTTTGCAGGTCGTGGTTCGCGTTTGCTGTTCCAGGTGTCATGAATAACAATGCACTGCACGGCGGCTCCTCCATGCTTGAGACGTGGGAATGCTCGAATAATCGTTCAGGAAGTACATCCAGCGGGACTCTTTCAATCTCTTCACGCGACAGCGTGCCATCCCCATCTTTGTCCATACTTATAAAGATGGATCTGAGTCGGGGAACCTGGGCTCGAAGAGACAATATAGGGATAATGGAAAAGAAAATGGAAACAACTGCCGTATATTGGAGTTATAAAGGGTAATGGAGAAATGGAAACTACTATGATATGCTAAGGGGTTAGGGTCTCATATCTAAATCATTTTACTACCAACCTCTCATGGAAGAACACCTTTGACTTGCTGTCCAGACCATTTCCGCACAGCCTAAGTATCGGCAACAGGTGCGAACCGCAACCGAACCCAGAACCCGCTAAGCCCTAAACCCTAAACAAGATGAACCAGGTCCTGCAGCAATTAACGCCCCCGCCCCACCCCCCATAAATCAACCTTCCAAATTTCAAAGCGGAAGACAATTTGTTCTTCAGTGGGATTCAGCTGACCAAACGCCGACCCTTAACCCCACACCCTAGATTCAAAAGCCCAAACCCCAAATCCCTAACCCCCACGCCTACAATCTGAACCCCATGCCCTATACTCTCAACCCTAAACTCTAACCCATCAAGCCCACAAACCTCGAACCCTATCCCTTAGCCAAGCTTCACAATCCACCAGCTTCTCATGCCTTGATGGTGGTCTTATGGGTTCTCCTAACCAACCCCCCCCCCAGTAGGGTTTAGGGCGTTTAGGTTTACATAGGGCTTAGGGATAAGGGTCTTAATTCACCCTGAATTTTAAGCAAGCTTCATTAAAGGGTACCATGAGGGGTTACAAAGAGGGGTGGTTAGGAAAGCACTGATTGTGCATAGGGAATGCGCGGAACCTGTAGGATCCCCTGCGAAATCCCCAAGTAGTATCGTACTTTACATGTTGCTTTTCATTTCCTAAATCCTACACGGTTTAGGCTAAACCCTAAATAGCAGTTTCCAATTTCTGCTCCGTTCCAAAGCCCCATAGGTCCTAAAGCTTAAATAGGAGTTTCCATGTTTCTTTTCCACTCCCTAAACCCTGAAGTCTAAACAACAAAAAGGTGCTTTCTTGTCCTTTTCCATTCCAACTCCTTCCGTAAACCCTAAACCTTCAGTACTGCTCCCCCTCAGTAACAGTTGGATAACAATTATAATACGGTTATATATAGCCCTTAATAGGACCCCTAATATAGACTGTTACTGGGTAAGAGCAGTACTCAACCTAAACCCTAAACCGATAACCAGCCAACCAGTCTGTCAGTCTACAAAGCCCTGCAAATCACTACAGGGTTTAGGGTACCGTTTAGGGTTTAGGGTTTAGGGTTTCGGCTTTAGGGATTCAGGGCCTGACCCCCGGGACTCCACACCGGTAATCCTAAACCCTTATGTGCATGTCTATGTATACACAATAGCAAAGTCCATCTCATTGTTCACTTGCTTTCCATGTGATTCTCCATGGTTAGGGTAGTATCCCTGCATTATTATTCTTGCTATTGTTATTATTTTGACTATGCCCCTTAGGACTCCCTAAGCCCCAAACCCACATCCCTAAACCACACACACATATTGATATATATATACATATTTATGTCTACATATCACATATCCATGCATATTGATAAAGCACAACAGCTCATAGGTTCTCGTACTACACCCTCCTCCGCCCCGTGTCCTTCGACTAGGTTCCCCCTTAGTTGGCACTAGTTATCCCTGAATGACCTTAATACAGGGGGACCATACAGGGGTAGTAGAAGAACCAATGAAAACAAGCCCCCCATGCCCTAAACCCAAACCCCTACACACAAAAAACCGAAAACCTTAAACCCCTAACTCCTAACCCTAAACCCCCAAGCCCTAAATCCTAAGCCCCGAAACCCTATCCTAAACCCCTAGACCCTAATCCCTAGATCCTTAAACCCCAAACCCCTAAACCCTATAAACCCCAAACCCTAAACCCCGAGACCCCTAAATCCTAATCCCGGATGCCTGAACCATAATCCCTAAACACTAAACCTCTAAACCCCAAACCCCTAAAGTCTATAAAGCATAAACCCCCTAAACCCTAATCCCTGAACTCTATACCCCTCAACCCTTAACTCCTAAATCCTGACCCCTCAACCCTAAACCCCTGCAACCGAAGATGCAGGTCGTGCTTGGCCGCCTCGCGGTCGTGCTGCGCGCTTTCCAGAGCTCCTTCGACCAAAACGGCGGTGACCTCAACTAAGGGGGAACTTAAAAGAAGGACAAGGGGCGGGGGGGGTGGGGAGGGTTAGGGTTTAATTTTAGGGTTTAGGGCTTCGGGCTAAAGTAGGGGTCTAAGGCCTAGGGCTTGCTTTTGGCGCAACCAAGTAAGGTTGTATGCTTCATAGAAAATACTAGAACTCAAAGGAGGATATAATCCCCGAACAACCACCGACTGGGGACTTTCGAGTCAGGGGGCGGCTTTGGAGAATTTAAGGGGTTGATAGTGTTTGGGGGGCTTGAGGGTGTTAAAAGTTTACGGAATTCAGGGTTTTGCCTTACACCCTAAACCGGTTTAGGGTTTCAAGGTCTAGGGTTTAGGCAGTTGGGGTTTAAGGAGGCCTAGGGGTAGGTTTAATCAGCTTAATGGGTCTGGATGTAAGGGACTTGGAGTTTAAGGCGGTTTAAAGGCGGGGGGCTTAGGGTCTAAGGTTTATGTTTCTTATTGGCTTAGGGGGGTTAGGATTTGCGGAGTGTAAGCAGGCTAGGCTAAGGAGGGCCCGCATGGACCCTAGGAAGATGTGGGGATGACAAAGTGGAAGCAACCCCACATATTACATGTTCCCCATAAGAGACATTATATGGGCCATAGTCTATAAACTCCTCAATGGAGCATATGGGGGATTATACTGAGGACTATTATTGGGGTTATTAAGGAGGACACTAGGAGTTTAAACTATAGCTCATTTGCATTGGGGATAATCCTATATCAGGGCTGGGGGCGGGTGTTTAATTTTAGTGTAAAATGATTTCTCAGGATTCTGGGTACTGTTCAAGATGGGCGTCGCAGATGCGACTTCTGAAAATCCACGATCCTTCTCACAAGCTGGCCATAATTCTGGTAACCCATCTTGTTCAAAATCAATGGTGCAAAGACCCTTGAACGCAAGGTTAAGAACCTGTTCGGCATAGGGTTTAGGGTTTAGGGGTTTGGTCCTAAACTTCTAGGACGCAATGGTAAGGTCCAAAGAACTACTGATCAGTAGGCCCCATTGAGAAGCAAGATGGCTGAATAAGAATCTTCTAAAGTGCCACCTAGAAATCCATTCAAACGTCGTAATACAAGAGCCGAGCCGCCAGATTCATTAGGGCAATCGATAATATCAGCACGATTGCCCCGAAGTAGCACACAAGCCAGGGCCTCTGCGTTACCAAAGGAGCATAAACTGCAGCAATAGAATCCAACGTTACGAACTGCGCCAATGTGAGCATGGTCACAGGAAGAGAACGGAAATGTTCCTCCACAATCTGCCGCACGTCTGGCTGTGCCCGGAGCTGAGTGTCATTCGTGATGAGCTCAATGCCCAGACATGCAAAGATGTACAGCACGAGGATTATCAGGCAGAACGTTGAAGCGATTGTGTTGATGGAAGTCAGCAGCCCAAAAACCAGCCGCCACACAGTACGAAAGTAGCGCAACATTCTCAGGGCGCGTATTAGTCGCAGCAGACGAAGTGCCCGAACCACCATAACTGACTCCAAGAAAGCGAAGTTCTCTATGGCAGACAGAGGAGCTATGACAGCACTCATCGTGCCCAACACCACGAGAATAAAGTCAAAAACGAACCAACCACTGCGGAAGCTGCTGCCACAACCCTGCGCAATTAAGCGAATAGAAATCTCAATAACATAGATGATGACGAAAATGATGTCCAGCATGCCCATCCAGCCCGTGTCAACAGAATCCACTGATGCCTGGGCCTCTATGCCGATACCTGGGCTTTGGAACCACGTGGGTGGTTGCTTGAAGTCTGGGCCGTTACTACGAACCTATTTTACCGCAATTTTGAGCAGGGTACGCCCTAGTGTGAACCTGCCCGTAATACGCAAGAACACTGCTGGTAACTTATGCAGCGCTTGCAGTACATATGGAGAAAAAACAATGCACCCATGTTGGGTAGAGCAGGTTCTGTTGATGACAAAACAAAGCCTGAAAACAACGCGACTCAACAGCACAGATGCAAATAGAGTTCGCCGCAATGATGGCACCAAGTAAGTAGTCAAACCAAGTCGATGACACTATCCTGGCTTTTCTCAGTTTCCCATGATGTCTGTTGTTTGGGTTGGGCCCGCCCAGCCAAAGTGATACAATAGGAAGATGTAGGGACCCTAATCTAATCTAATCACCAATATCAACCGATATCATTTCTGTTCACCCGGGCGCAGCCTAAATCCTAAACCCCAAATCTTAGTGGGCGGGGGCCCCGTTCTCTTATGTAGGGTTCGAGGGTAGGATAGACGGGTCTGCGACACCTGGGGTTTAGGGTCTGAGGATTTGGGGATTGGGATTGCAGCCCTTTTTACTTAGAAGTCCGAAAGTTGAGATTTCAATAAGCACCTTCTGTCCCGTACACTACACCCAAACCCTGAACCTTAATCATGTCAATTTCTTACTCTCGGGGATGTGCGAAGAGGGAAAACCCTAAACCCTAAACCATGATTTGATGAACTCCAGCCTCTGGCAGCTCGTGACAACGAGTATTTTGAAGCCTTCAGGGCTGTAGGCTTTGGACTTGGGTCTTAGACTCAGGTGAGCCATAATCTAAACTCCTTAAATTAAAGGGCCTTACGAAAGGGACTATATAGGGCGCCACTATTGGGGTGATTCAGGGGGCTGCTAGGAGTTCAGACTGAGGCTCAGGTTACGTTGAAGCGAGTTCGGATAAGGGCTACTGCTCCGGGGAACTGTTTTGGGAATGGCTGCGCAAACGTCAATTTTGCAATCCTGAAATTACAACAAGAAGGCAAGGCAAGATCAAAATAAGTCCAGGCCAATCTCATGACTCCCCCAGTCTCCAATTCAAAAAGCTATGAAGGGTCTCTAAGATGGACCGTAAGCCCTAAACCCTAAACCCTAAACCCTAAGCCCTAAACCTTAATCCCTTAACCCTAAGACCCTAAGCCCTAAACCCTAAGCCTAGGTGGACCCGGTTTTGCCTTGATTCAGAGTAAGCGCAGGTAGTATTTCAGTTCGCATCTCATCCAGCAAGGCCCGATATCTCGGCTGAAAGTTGGACTTGCGCTTTCGATGTGATCGATGCGCAACCTGGCAGTTTTTTGGGTTTAGGGGTTTAGGGTCTAGGGAATAGGGTCTAGGGATTTTACCCCCCAAGAATGAAACATCACATGGAAAAGTACATGGAGGGCTGGGGATTTCTGGGGTTGGGGGTCGAGTCAAGGATGGCAAACTTTTTGCCCCAAACTAGACCCCTGCGAGGATCTAGAAAGTAGAAATTTCAATATGGCACCCTATACTATTACTATTGGGTACCCTAAACCCTAAGCCCTTAAGGGGGATCTATCTTCTGGATCCGCCCACAGTTCTGGGAAACCTCTGCTTGCGCAGACTTTGGAGGACCTTGAGGAGTCTAAGGAGTCCGGGTATGGTTCCCCTCCAACTTTAGGGTTTTTAGGGTGTAAGGCGAGGGTTTAGGATTCAGTTCCTTAATCAAAAACATCCTAAGCCCTCAACCCTACATCATTTGAGAATGGTTGCGCCACGTCCATAAGAATTTTCAGAAGCCCCAAACCACCATGGACAACTGCCTTCAGCTTGATGACAAACAGCGCGCTTGACGATTGACACAAAAATATGAAGCCAATTGGTCAGGCTTTGTACGGACTCCAAGACATGATTTCTTGGAGTCCTTACCAAGCCTCACAACACAGACCGCAAACTTGGACTACTCACATACTTAGATGCCCCATCGAACCCTCCCAGAAAATGAAGCCACTTAATCCCCAAGACCGCCTCCATACCTTCAACAACCTAGACCCTCCATCTACCCTCGATATACCCTAATTACCCACTGTCCGGGACCAGATACCCCCATCTAAGGGTAGCAGGAGGATCCTGAAATGTCTTCTTCCTAAACCCCTTCACTCGATGCTCCAAAGGAACAGCTGGTGGGAGAGCATGAATAACCTGAGCATCAGTTCAGGATTTAGGGATTTCAGCTCATGGTTAGGGACCCTTCTTGCTACTTCTCGAACTTAGACTCCAACATGGATGTTTCTTGGTATGTTCATATGTCCTTCTGGCAGGGGCATCATAAACTCCTGTTTATTCCCACGTATTCCTGGTGTCCTTAGGGCATCCCTTCCTTGTATGATTTCTGTGGGGGCTTCCATCCGGGTGTCCGTTTTTGGGTGTACCCATACGAAGCATCATAGCATTGGGGTCTACCGTGGGGTCCCCTAGTATGGAAACGTTTCGCCAGAGCTTCTCACAGAGTCTGCTGATCTACGCTTCCACCAGCACCACCACCAACACCACCACCACCCCCACCACCACCACCACCACCACCACCACCACAACAACCACGACGACGACGACGACGACGACGCCGACGCCGACGCCGACGCCGACGCCGACGCCGACGCCGACGCCGACGTCGACGCCGACGCCGACGCAGACGCCGACGCCGACGCCGACGCCGACGACGACCACGACCACGACCACCACCACGACAACGAAAACGAAAACGAAAACCACAACAACAACAACAACAACAACAACCACAACCACAACCACGACAACGACAACGACAACGACAACGACAACAACGACAGCGACAACGACAACGACAACGACAACGACAACCACAACAACGACAACCACGACAGCGACAACGACAACGACAATCACAACCACAACCACAACAACGACAACGACAACGACAACCACAACAACAACGACAACCACAACCACAACCACAACAACAACGACGACGACGACGACGACGACGACGACGACGACGACGACCACAACAACAACATTAAATCGCAGCTACAGACATACGTTCAATTGAAAAGGAGATGGGCCTTACTAGGAAGTATGAAAATCAAGGATCCTCAGGAGACACAGTTGGTGAGAACCACCCTCTCAGCCCAAGAAAATACCACTGTTCTTGCGGCAATACTCCTACTAGAACTACGGTCGGGGTCTCTGGGTTAATCGGGGGGGGGAGCTCTCGGGTATTTGGAGGCCAAGTCCATCCTCATCGCGGCCTTACCCATCCTAGTTTATGTAAGCCTCTAATGGTAGTAATGATAATAGAGGCAATAATAGACATGACTCATAGTAACAATAGTAATAATCATACGAATCATACTAATAGTAATCATCAAAAACTATTCTTATGATAATAGTAATAGTAATACTGGGCAACAGACTCTATACCTTCGGGGACCACGGCAGTGTGCAAGGAGCATTTGTCAATTAGCGTGGTCACTCCTCGTGATTCAAAGGGCTTGGCGTTTTCTGTTCAGAACTCTAACATCAGGCAAAACTCTTATGGCTTCTGGTCTCCATAATAATCACAAAGTACCTGCATACGCGCATACACGCACATGCACCTTTACAGACAACCATGCAGGGAATCCACAAACACTCCACCTAGAATCAAACCATACCTGAAATTGTGACCAGCAGCCGCTTCAGACGCGTCCCTGCTGCTGAGTTCCCATTCCTGTGTCATGGTTTTCACCATATTTGAACCCCATGGGAATGTGACACATAACTTTGAACCCCAGACCCAAAACCTCAGCCAAGATATGTGCTTCGTTATTCGTACCCCAATAAGTTCCTCGTATCCAGTGTGGGACTCGTCCTCACGCTGCTCGGTTGCCTGCCGAGTTTGCAGTCCAGAATTAGCTGGCTACCTACTGGTGCGTAATGGGGAGGGGTGGAGTGAATAGAGGTACCATGATATGGTATATTATATGATCCCGGTCCTGGGGATCCTACCCCGCTCATGGTATGGTCGCCACCCCCCAGCCCGAACCTCTCAGAAGTGCCAAGAGTTACAGGGATGGGGCACCTCAGCGTCGCGATAATCAACTGCCACTCTTTTGGACCTTCGTGTGCTCTTGTCTGAAAAGTGCCCAAAGTCACAGGGAAAGGGCCTCGCGCGGCCATGATCCTTGTAACTGTCGTCGCTCTAAACCTTCGCGCCGTTTCTGCCCGGGGCTACAGCTCTGCTTGGGCTCTATCGTAAGCTGGCACTACATCCCAGGAACCTACAAATAAACTTGTGGCCAACATGAGAAGAATTTGGGTGACATCATTAGAAGAAGTATGGCATATGAAGCAGGATCATCCACGAAAACCCGCCTCCAATTTTAGCACTAGAACCACAAGGACCACAGGCGGGGGGGGGGGGACAACAGCAGGACCATAAGAACCACGGGGACCACAGGGGGGGGGGGGGGACCCATACCTTGGGGGGTACCCTAAACCCTAAACCCCCCCTATATGGGAATGGTATAGGGATTATTTTGGGGATCCACTCCCCCACTCTCCCTTAAGCACCAGCAAGGCTAGGATTGGAAAGCCTTGCCTTGCATGCCATTGAGAAACCATGTAGGTGTTCAATACTTGCTGTTAAGGAACTTCCATTAAGTACTTCCAGTAAGCTACCACAACAAGGGACCCCTATCATTTACAATATGCCCTTTAATATAAAATTGGCGTGTATATATATATACATATATATTCACACCTAACCTAAATTCCTTGACAGCAACCCAATAATGTCCGCATGGAAAGGGCTTCCCTCCTGTATTCATGGCAGTCTCATGAAGAGTCAGGGCGCGGGGTACTGAAGGCCAGGTAGGCGCCGCACTAATTAATCATAGAAGACTCAAGAACTGGCAGCTGGCATGTGAGCTATAGTCTAAATTCCTGTAAGAGGCTTATGTAGGGGATCATATATGGGACTACTAAGGGGGATGCTAGGGGTTTAGACTATATCGCATGTGCTGCGTGCATACCACGCTCTGAGTTCCCGAGAAATTTCCGGTGCATGCACTGCGAATTCAAGCGGCCATTTCCAAGTCGAGCATTGGGGGAACATGCTCACAATTGTTCACAACGTTTCGGGCTCTACGAGTATCTTACTGTCAGCAAGAAGAACTCTATGATTCAGGCTTCTATTTTTTTGGCATGCCTTGCACATAAGCCGTGGCTTCCTTCGGACAGACTACTTGCTGCTGTGAATGTGGGCCCCAAGGGTCCAGGCATCCAAATAATAATGGGAATTGGGGGTCTTACATGCTTACCCTACACCCTCAACCCTACGCCCAATGATTTTAGGCTCTTCCGTGCTTGGACCCTTAAGGTTGGACCTTCTCAGAATCGGTGGGAGGGGGGCCCCTTGGAGGCTCTGGGGATATATAGGCATGATGAAGAGATTCTCAGAGATCCCCTTACCAAAGCTCTAACTAAACCCGAATGTAAACCACTGACTATCAAAAGGCCGGGGAATATAGTGATATAGGGGGAATATAGGGATCATATAGGGATAATGGAAAAGAAAACGGAAACTACGATTTAGGGTTATTAAGAAACCACCTCCTTTTAAGGGCCTTAACATTAGGATCCCTATTATAATCCCTATTAAGGGGAGGGGGGTTTATTAATCAGGGGTCCACATTAAACCCTAAACCCTAAACCCAGGAACTTCCCTAGCTGAGTTGACCCTCGCTTGCGTCTGACGCTTCAGATCAGCTCAGAAGAGGCCTGTTGTTCAATATGTCTCATGCAAGCGGGACTCGAAATTACGGGCCCCACAAGGCCGCCTCTGAGGAGCACCTAGATAATCAGATATGTTGGGGGCTATATCTACCTCGCCGCCCTTGATCTTGTACATTTGTACCCTGCGGCGTGCTCGCAGGATACCTGGCCAAACAACCAACTTCTCAGACGCTTGACGTCTGTGAACCCTGCGGGGCCCTACCCACGTGACCCTTCGCCATGCGAGCCGGCGAAAAAAGTTCGCTTTGAGAAGCACAAGCGATGATCTCTATCACGAGGTGTTCCTGACTGAAAGATTCAACCTCTAAGCCCGACTGTGCACGCATGCTCTGCACAAAGACGACGCCCAATTTGAAGGGTGAAGCCCATGACAACTTCACCCAGTGACCTACAGTGCGAATCCGTTTAATGCAATGCTCTACCCAAGGCCCTGCAAATGATACGACTAACAGTAATAACAGTAAAAGTAGTAAGAGTAGTAATGATAGTAATACTTAACAAGGCTTAGTACCTGCTGCTCTGCTCGTCTCACAGAACTATACTTCCAGCACCTCCTTGTCTCAACCTCCTTTTTTTAGGTACGCTTTGTGAGTGCGGTCCTAACCTAACTCCTCTATTCTTCCTTATCTTCTTAGATGAGTGTTGTAGCACCCCCAAGGCACATACATAGTGTTATGAGCTGGTTTTAGATTTATGTAGGGTTTAAGATGTCAAGTGCTCGCAAAAAAACATGGCGGCCATTGCTAGTCTTTAAAGGTTCCTGGAAAGCCCAAATTTCCCAAGTGTGCCTGTTGGAGATCATTGTGATGAGCCTGTTGCTCAAGATGTCGCATTGCATCATTGATCATCAGTAGCGCCTGCTCCTGCCAGAAGCCCTAAACCCTAAACCTTCTTTTGCACAGCTGCTGGCCTAAGAAGCATGGGTCTAGGGTCAAAATTTCCAGGTACGTTGACTACACCTGGACCAGGGGGGTATCGGACTCTGGAAGCTGATCCAGAGAAATGCAGTGCGAGGCAAGCGGTTCGGAACTAGATAGGGAATAATGGGGACTCTGATCTCGGGAGAGTATAGGAAATCATCAGAATGTGATTTACTGGATACTGAAGGTCTGCGGCTTCGGGCTTGACAGCTGGGAGGTGTGGCACTCAAGTCGTATCTGAGAATCCAACTTCCATGGGTTTAGGGTTTGGGGTTTACTTCGGGTTTGCGGTTTAGGGCAAAGAGCCAGGACATGACATTGAAGAGTGAGCTTTTGATGCCGGGGGGGGGGGTCTGATTGCGGAGCTGTCGGCGAAACAGGTGACAGAATTCAGGATGCTGTGAAGTCATGGTTCCCTGTATGTTTGTCTTTCAGATAAAGACTTTTGCTGTTTGAGGGCTAGCTAAGGGAACCCGAGTTTTGAGGTGCCCAAAACAGGATGCCCTTCGTAAATAAGTGCCAGCGAAGTAGGTGGAACATTAGTAGCCAATTACCTTGAGGCCTGGAAAGAAAGAACTGCAGGATAATGTCAATCGCCGCTGCTTAGCCCGTAATACTGACTACGCTTAACTCGGATGCGGTTAAGGAACTCAAATCAAGTTACTATAATAGGGAAACCCTATTATTTACTATTTTAGCTAAGTTCCTGAACAGCAAGTATATTGGGAGTATTTCATATTAGAGGGTGGGGGGGGTTCAATATTAGGGCGAAACCCTAAACCCTAAACAATAAACCCTAAACCCTAAACCCTAGGGGATTAGCAGTTGCTGGTCCTTCAGGGTTGAATTCGTGCCGGGCCCCTACCCATCAAACTCCCAATCCCTGCCTCCTCAACTCTGAGAAAACCGGCCTCAGAACCCAACTAAA